TGGCTGTTCACAAGCAATGTGAAGATCAAGGCCAGTATTGTGAGAAGCTGTGAACGAGACCAGGCCATTGTTTAAGATTTGTACTTGAACCTGGAGTGAACCTTTGGGGAACTTCTCAGCATTTTTATACTGTGGAGAAGCCATGAATTAATCAGATTCCATGCCTAGGACTTGTAACTCATATTTGCAGGTTACAATCCATCAAATGTTCCATGGAAACGTTAGCAAAAGAAATCATAACTGCTTTTATACCATTTAGTACATTCAATAGATCCATTGAATTAGATAAATGAAGCTCAAAAGAAAACTAGAAAGAGCTTTTATTATTATAGGATTTACTAGCATTTCATTACACTGGCAAAAGATTTTCTGTCCTTTATACTGTTCATATTTTTTCAAAGAAATGGAGAGAAAGAATCGGAAGGAAAAATGAAGAGCAGAACCCACTAAAAATGGCTAAATTTAACTTTTCATCTACTAACAATAATTCTATTTTCATTCTAATTTAGATAGTTTAATTTCTTTTAAATTCATCTATAAATTATGAAAATTATTTCAAATTCATCTGTCTAGCTAACTTCAGTTGGTTTTTTTAACGGTATCTTATGGCATGATTATGTGACCAGTTACGTGGCATAGGCAATTTTGAAAAATTATACTTCTTTCTCTTTTTTTTTTTATTTGTACGTCTTAATAATGTTTTCATTTTTTTCGTGGTGAGATTTTTTTTCTTTATTTTTTATTTTTAATTTTGTAATAAATCTATATCTTTTAGTTTTGATTAACAACTAAAAAAATCATAATTGTCATTATTAGGATAAAATTATATCATTTTTTTAAGGTTAATGCGAATTAATCTCAATTCTTAAATAAAATTAGAGTTTCAACTTATATTTAGAAACTATAATTAGAAATTGAAATTTCAATTGAAATTTTAAAAATTTAATCAGTTTTAAATTTAAATATCAACATTTAATAATAACATAAACTTTTAATTTTTAAATTGGGTTTTCATTAAATAAAATAACATAATTTAGAATTAGAATTATAATTTTTTTTTTAGAGTTGAAACTTATATTCATTTTTTCCCTTCTTTTTTCTATTTAGTTCAAAAAATTAATTTTATTTGTACTCTCTCTTTCTCAAAATAATTTTTTTTTTAATTTTTTAATTAAAAATTGGTTAAAACCCATTTTTGGTCCCTGAACTATTGTACGGACCCTTAATTTGGTCCCTGAACTAAAAAAAATCCCTAATTTGGTCCTTACTATTTACCATTTTTACCCCGATTTGGGCATTCCGTTAAAAATTGTGTGATGTAGCCTGTTACTTCACGGTTATCAAATGACATGTCATATAGTAATCCACGTGGAAGATAGCCAAAAAGTGATGATGTGGAAAAAATAAAAATATAAAAAAATATTATGAAAAATAAAACTTAAAATTTTTTTTCTTTTACCTTTTTTTCTTTTTTCTTTTTTCTTTCTCCTTCTCCTTTCCCTTTCTCTTTCTCCTTCCCCTTTCCCTTCTCTTTCCCCTCGGAACCCAGCAGGCGTTGGGTTCCTTCGAACCCACCCAGGCGTTGGGTTCGCAAGGAACCGAACCTAGCACGCTTGCCTGGGTTAGGTTCCAAGGAACCCAAGCGCTGGGTTCCCTCGAACCCACGCCTGGGTTCTTTGAACCCAGCTGGTTCGCTGCTGGGTTTTTTGGAACCCGGCACTGGGTTCCATGGAACCCAACCCCGGGTTTGACGGAACCCAGCATGCCTGGGTTCGTCGAACCCAGGGGGTAAAAAATATATATATTTTTTCTGTGGGTTTGGTGTTTGATGATGATGTGTTTGATGATGATGAAAAAAGCAAGGCAAGGACGAGGAAGGAAAAAAAAAGGGCGTTGTTGGGTTCAATTCAATCCAGGTGCTAGGTTTGTTTGCTGGAGGAAGAAGATGATGGCAAATTCGTAATTTTGGTGGGCCCCACTTTGTTGGGTTGTGCAAGAACATGACATGTCACGTTGCCATATCATTATTTATTCATTTATACAACTAACGTGTCTCAAATGTTTGACATGTCATTAAATTGTCGTGAGATAAC